GGGCAGGGGGCGGGCAGCGGCGGGGCCGCGGCACCGAGCGCCCTGTGCGGGCTGGCAGGCTTCTGGCGGACGGACGCGTTCCCGTTCCGCCGGCGCGGTAACGGAGCAAAGGCAGTGTCACTGTGGTAACGACAGCGGGCTTTCCTTCGTCAGCGGGGGCTCCGGCTGGCTCCGCTTCGACTTAGTGAAAAAGCCCAGCTGCTTGCTAGCCATAATTGGTGCTGTAAATATGGTATGGGGTATTACTACATCTTTATTTACATACATAGAAATATTTCCCTCGGCACTGGTCTTGACCCATTTTTTAAACCAATGAAAACGAATCTGCTATGTGTTGCTCATGTTTCTGTCGTCGTTTTTGAAGACTGGTTACCATTTGTTAGAATTTAGCAGGGAAAATGTAAACCTACTGACGCTAACTTTGTGCACGGAAAGCCTCTGCAAAGACTTTCTCCCCTGGCCTGTCTCCATTCTGCAGCACAGCAAGAACTTTATTAGATGATTCTTGTCAAAAGCGAGATGTTACGCTCCGTAAATCTGAGGCATTCAAGTAAATGCCGTTAAACAAGAATAAAATTAAAATTAGTAATTGGGCTGGAACAAGTTATACGAAGATGGGTTTAATGCTGCTGGTATGATTCCAAAAGGAATATATAGTTTGGTAAATGGCGGTGATGAGAATATTGATGTCCCACACATCAGATTCACTGCTGTTCTGCAGCATCTCCATCCCCGTAATCCTAAATAATCAGAGTCCATGTTGAAACCACATCTTACATTTGTTTCCTATTTTGCTGCAGCTTAAGCTGTAGCTAAATAGTAGAGACTTCGCTTTTTAAGTTAGCCTCTTAATTTGAGGCATTTACAATGCATTTAGCAGGCTACAGAAATCCAGAAATACATTTGTCCCAAGTCACAGTTAACGTCCTGCTACATTCGTACTGCTGCAGGGCTGTAGGTGACCTTGATACAAATGAAAATTGGACCAGACTGCTCCCTCGCAGGCCAGATCCAACAATGTCCTGGCACAAGCAAAGCCCAGCTAATGGATGGCATACATTTAAAGAGCTTCAGACAAGTTTATTTGCACGCATTCTCACCCGTTAGCTAGAGGAACCCTTCGCCTTCTCTACTGACTTGTAGGGAGAGATGTGGGCAGGATGAATACAGATGTGAACGTGGAGGGCTAACGGGACGTACGCTCTTGGGGGGCAGGGGAAGCCCTTGCTGTAGAGCCAGGCTTGAGGAAAGGGGCAGACACTGGTCTCTGTGTGTGTCAAAAATAATGGCAGTTCTCCACCCACCCCTCCTCACAGAAACAGCGTGAGGGAACTTCTGTTTACTTGAGTCAGATTATAGCAGTTTAAAGAAAGGTCATGATTTGGGCCTAAACAATTTTGGCTTACTGCCAGCAACTCGTTTTCAAAACTATAAATAGGAATGATTTTGGAATACTCTGAAAAATAAAAATCAATGGGCAGCAGAAGCCAGCTGAACTGTATTTCAAAATATTTCCAGGTATGTCCCTAAATGGGGCAGTGAGATATTATGTAGCACGAGGAATGCCTCTCATAAATATTACCCTAGTTTATTTTTAATGAGGATTGACTACATTTAATTAGGGTTTGAAAGACTTCATTTTAGAAAACGTAGGTCTCACCCCTGGCTAGAAGAGGCATTAAATGACCTAATAATCTTTTCCATTTTTAGATGCTGCTGCCACGATGCTCTGTATGATTTGTGCCATTCCCCAAGGACAATGCAGAGAGATCCTTCGTTTGGACGGTTCCTGCCGTGGCTCCTCTGCCAGCCTTCCTCCCTGCCGCCCACACCAGAAACACAGCTAGGCCGTAACCCATGGCAGTTCCTAGCAGCTGACAGGGCCACCAAAGTTCTTAGTAACTGCTATAATATACAGCAAATATTATTTGAGCTCCTTCAATCCGTCCACAAGACTGGTCCAGCGCTCACCAGCCTGAGTATTAGCAAGGGGCAAAACCTGTAATTGTTGCCATGCAGCAGGTGTTGGTTGTGGACAGTCTGTCTCCGAGGCACTCGTTGCCCAATGTCATTTCCCTCCAGTAGTCGCCCTGGGTGTTCAGCTCTTCTACATATGAAATGTGTGATAAGGAGTGGCCTGACCATAGCTTTTGGTTTGCTGTTTGGAAAAAAAAAATGTAGAAAATACCACCTTAATTGGTTATTTTCACCGTGGAAGAGGCATTTCTTGGAGCAGCAGCCTGTTAGATCCTTCCTACACACTGCAGTGCTGCTTCGTAAGTACACCTGGCCTGGCTAGGTTCAAGATCACTCATAGTCTGGGTTTACCATGGTTATTATTTGACCAGCAACACATGGTCTTACTGTACAAGGGAGCCTTGAAGACAGATTCTTTTGGGTCCAGTAATTCGAGTAGAATTGAGGATCAGCTAGTTACTTGCTTTAAAGGTCCAGTAGATGTGTCTGTGTGGTTTAGGAGGAAACTTGGTGATGTTTGGGGTGGGTATTTCCTTCGTAAATCTTTTGCACAGCTCTTTCAAGGAGAATGTGCGCACACCCATTTATTTCATGGCTGCTGAGTCCAAAGGTGACCCGCAGGACTTGGGCAGCTCTGTGAATTGGTGTACAGACTTAGAAGACATGAAAATCGGGTGGCTTTAAAACGATTTCACTGACAGAGTCTGAATGAAATAACTCTCTGGGGCTCAAAGCAGCAGGCATTGTCAGATACAAGGGATTAAAAGGCTTTTTAATGTGGCTTAGTAGTGTACAGAAGATTGGCTTACTTGTATGAGCTGTTCTTTCGTCACATTGATCTTTATTTTGCATTGTGCTTAGTACAACAGAAACTGGAGGCTGAAGTCTTCTTTCCCGAATCATCTGACAGGACTTGGCCCTTTTATTGCTTAGTAAAATCTTTTTTTGTGGAGAAATTGATTTTTGTGGGTGTACCCAGTGTTGAGTAATAGCTGAAGAATACCAGGTTGTAATAATTTTATGAACACGGTATGTGGCCAGGTTGGTGAGAGGAAGTTACTACATAATGGGTTATACTACTTTTATTACTTTCCTGTATAGATATATCAATCTAACTTAACAGGGAGCTAGCTGATGAAGGAATAAAAGGCAGTTCAGTGGTTCCCCTGTGTCAGCTATATGTGACTAAACCCATGAGGTGGTAGTTACAAGACGATAGCTCCAATTCCGATGCAGCAGCTGGTTTGTCAGGCTGAGAACTAAGAATCAGAGGAGGATAAAGCTGGCAGAGACTGATGGAAGAAATAATTTAACACAGGGGCAGACTTTGCAGAAGAGGCTGGGAGAAGCTGGGCCTTCCTCTCTGCAGCAATGGACTGGTAAGGCATACAGAAGGAAAGGCAAGTGTGTTGACTGGTTTATTGTTTTCAAGATCTATTTTGTCTTAAATGGTTTGGTGCTAAGTAAGTGTTTTGTGGTTAGTACTTAGAGTCATTTACTTCATGAGAGACTAAAACTGTGAGGTCTGGGTCTGTCTCAGGTCTGCAGAGGTAATCATGGTTGATACACTAGGGATGCAACCTGAGAACTGCTCTGTGTGTAGCAAAAAAAGACAGCTAGCAACCTGGAGGAACGGTTAACTGGTCACTTGCGACAGCAAAATGCACACACAGTCACAAGTTTTGTTTTCTCTTCTTTGAAAATGATTTTTTGTATAAGTAATTAGCTTTTAGAATAATAGGGGGGCTTTCACAGACAGGCTTAACCTCGGTGTTTCAATGTGGTTTTGTTTTTTAAATACAGCAGAGAGAAAAACACCATCTCACAAGTAAGAAAAAATTTATTACATAGATGCCAGTAATGTAAATATCTCAGTTATGTCTAAAATACTGGTTATCTCCTGTTGCTCAACTGAAAGATAATACAGCAAAAGTGTTTTTTATTTTGTTGTCCTTTTATTCACAATTTATTTTACTGTTGTTTTCACCACTTACCATATATAATCGATTGGTTGTCCCCTGCTGTTCCCATGGATATTTAATACACTGACATGGAAAAGAGACATTTTTATGAAGAGGAAAATGCAGCTACAAAACTCCTCTTGCACAGAATTGAAGGCTGTGCCATGTTTTATGTTGATACAGCCAATAATGGCTTTCTGCTTCATGTTCTCATCTACCGTCTACACGTATGGCTATCCGTCCCACACCTCATGTTTTATGAGGCTGGCGCCTAGGAGAGCGTTGGGTGCCCCATAGCGCCTGTGTCCACTGTCCTGCCCTGGAGCAGGCCAGAAGGGCCAGGTTCGTAGGTCAGTTGGCTTGAAATGCAGAAGCAGTCCATGGAGGAGTGATAAATGCTATTGATAAGACTGGTCCAGCATAAACAGGAATCCAAGACCTCTCTTCAGACTCTTTGGTCTGGTTTTTGGGGTTTTTTTTTTGAGGTCAAAGGAGAACACAGTATTTTGAACAAAATGTGCAAGGGCCCACCCTTCCTGAATTGTACTTTTGGTGGTGTGTTCTGTCCTGCAGCTGTAACGCAAAAGGGTTTGGGTTTTTTCCCCTCCTCTCCTTTTTTTTAATATATATCATGGGAGAAATTTAATAGATGTTTTCATGGGAGTCTCTGATCCTACACTTTTCTCATTGTGCCTGTACGTTCTACGAGGAGAGCTGTTGATCATTACTGGTTTAAGTCCAGCACCTTTAATTCATCAGAAGTTCATGTAACGTGTTACTTACATTAGATGTAGGTGCCAAAACTGACCTGTAAACCTAAAATTAAATTGGGTCTACAAAATTAATTTCACTTAGATTGTGGAAATTAGACTATAAATGGAATTCCTGTGGGAACTGTGTAAACCTTCTTTGACATTGATTTAATGTAATTCTTTTCTTAATGGGGTAACTTTAAATTGTGTAACCGGTACATAGTTTTAACCAGCACAGATTTGTAGCAAATTTTGCAGTAAGATGAATATTAACAGGAACGTTCTGTGGTGTTTCTGAATTTAAGGATTACAGTGTATAGCTTTATTGCAGCTGACTAGACAGTCAGGCATCATACCTCCTCCCCAAACCTGATCAGATAGGTAATGATACAAAGCTAACATGTCATTTGTCAAACATGTCCATTCAGTCAATAACTTTTAATTTATAAAATGCACATGCACAGGATAACATAAATTTAGGGTAAATATTTATTTTGTGGTCAAAACTGAGTTCAGAATCTGAATTTCAAGGTTAGTACCTG